AGCTACTGGAACGTAGTTTTGGTTTCATGCAACATATAAATAAGAGCTTATGAAATCGCCAAAATCTTATTTGTGATAACCCGAACAGCTTACCTCTTTCCCTTGTGAATACCTGTGTTTACTTAGCAAGGAAGTGAGTAAAAACACATCTAAATCTAGACTTTGGTCTATATAATATTTTTTTTATTTGGGGCATTGATAAACTGGTATAATAAATTAATGTTACTGGAGCGCCGACAGTAAAATTAATCTATAATTATGTTTCGATGGCTACTTGATTCACCGATTTCAAACGCTTGTTTGTTTGTTTGAAGTTAAGCACAAAGCAACACAATGGGCTATCCGTGCTCTGCCCACCACGAGTATCGAAACCCATATTCTAGCGTTGTAAGTTCGCAGACATATCGCTGTGCCACTGGGAGGGGGGGCGATTTCAAACGCAAAAATATAAGAAAATAGCAATAATTTTCATAAAAAACCTTTTTATAATAAACCTTACACAGTATAAGTTTTGTACAAGTTGCTATCATTTTTCGCCATTCAGAATTTTTTCCAAGAATAAAAACATATACTAGAAACTGCTCTTTTCGGGGGAAAAATATCTGTAAAAATCAAACATTTAATACAATATCAAGCTCACTTGTTACATATTGCGCTGTTTAAAAAAAAAAGCCAGAAACAATTTTCTTTGTGATTTATTTGAATATGTTTTAAAACCTACATACTTCGAACGTACGAATTACAAAACTCACATTTGATAACAAAGCTCATTTATTAAGTATAGTTTGTTTTAATACCATTCATCATTCTCTTTCACTTTAATTATTTTTTTTTAAATGAATGTTGGTCTTTCCTGTGTCCTTGAGAACCGGATATATTAACATTTTTATCTTATCCGACCCGAAATAGTTTATAATGGCAAGAGTTAAAAGGACAAACGTGAGCATAATGATAGTATAATATATACGGTGGGAAAATACAATATGGCTAGTACAATCAAATGTCGATTTTTTCATGTTATATACATGCCTTGTCACTTAAGTATTGCCCTCCCCCCAGTGGCACAGTGATATGTCTGCGGACTTACAACGTTAGAATCCGGGTTTCAACACCCGTGGTGGGCAGAGCACGGACAGCCCATTGTGTAGCTTTGTGCTTAATTACAAACAAACAAATTAACAGTTACTTATTTGGATAACATAGAAAAGATATCAAGGATAATATTCTACTTTTGCACGTAACGTTTCTATCTACAGTTTGCTGTTTTTAACCGAGTTTTGGTGAGAGAAAACATGCTGAATTTCCTCATAAATTCCCCTCTTTTTCATAACGTATTTAAATACTAATCATAGGCTATATTCATATAAAATTCTCTATGTATATAATTTGTAGACGTTGATATATACCATTAAAGCCTCCAGATGAACAACATTATTAGCATCCTACGTTTCGGTTACTGTCATCTTTGTGAAGAGCCGGATGTCTAAGTGTTGAGTTTCTTGTAAGTTATTAACAAATGTTAATTCTTTTTTTTTTATAAATTTTAATTATTTATTATAATTAAAAAAAAAGTAACACAAGTGCCGATAGTGCATATTTATAAATGTTAATTCATTGAAACACGAAACGTTGGCCCTATTAGTCTTTTGTTTGTAATTAAGCACAAAGCTACACAATGGGCTAT